TGCACGCCAATTTCACCAATACATGAGAAGCTCCAAAATCTTCTTTGCTTCCCTGGCTCTTGCCCCATGGCTGTCCCTCTTAGCCCAAGCAGAGCTAACCAGATCTTTACCAGTCCCCTCCAAGCCCCATCCCTGCAGTCTGAGCTGGGCTGACCCTTCACCTCAGACTGACAGAACCAGCTCTGGTTTGCCCTGTATCCAGGCCATTTTGCTATGGCTGCAGAGCAATTGAGAAAAGAAGAGAGGATAGGTTCCCCCCAACCTTCTGTCCACGGAACAGCAGTGGGAAGCAGAAAAAACCTTACCTGGAGCACAGATACACAGGAAAACAGGAKGGAGAGGTGAGGAGGGCCAAGAAATGGCACTAAGCCTCCTGTCACTGCCTACTGCATCTGCAGGAGGGGTGGGTAATGGGTACTTTCCAGAGCCTTCTGTCAGCAGGTTAAGGCTTCTGTTTGCTTGTCCTCCTGGTTTTGTCTTTATCTCCAGTTTTTACTGTTACTGGGCATAGAGAGAACATGGGTTCCTCTGAGGGCARCGAGGATGGGTCCCCCCTCCCTTTCCAAACGCTGTGCTGAGCCCTGGGATCTGGGCAAAGCTGTGCCTGGCTCATGGCTGAGCCCACACCACAATTGTAGTTCCTGCTGCTCCTAAAAACACAAAGCTGAGTCCTGTCTAGGCACAARGGTCTCCATATAAGACAGCTTCTGGGTTCAATTTGACTCCAGGAGCTGGGGCCAGGGAAAACACTCTGATCCCATTCTCCAGTCCTGGGGATTAGACCATGGAGGTTCAGGCTGGGCAGTGCCACCAGGGAGAGTTATCTGCAGCAGGAGCATGGCCACTGCCACCAGCTCATTCTTGGAACCACACAGCCTGGCTGAGAGTGCTGGCACCTTCCCACAGGACACATCTCGGCAGAAAGTGTCCAGACAAGCAGCAGTGAGTGCTGATGATGTGCTGGAAACGAGAAGGGAGCAAGCAGAGGCCTGAGGATGAGAGATGCCAGCTCTGGATCCTGTCCATCATCCACACATGTTGTTTAGGCACGAGCAGACACTACAATGGAACAAGACTAAAGGGGCTTTTCCTCACCTGGCTTCCCAACCTTCCCAAACATCCACATATCCCATCTCCTCATACAAACCCAGAYGCATCCCCGAGCCCCTGCCCGCTGGATCTGGCATTGTGCCTAGGAAGAGCAGAGCCTTGCCTTGGCACCAAGGAGAGGACACCCCCAGAAAGGGGAACAGCTGCCCCTGCACTGGCAAATGTGCCCRGGGCATATTCACAGCTCCTGCTGACTCCTGTGCACCGGGGAGTCGCGTGAAGGAGTGTGAAGGTTGTGAGAGAGAGAGCAGATTTTGGTCCCTGTGGTGCTGCTCACTTTGCCTGCAGGTCCATGAGGGAAGGACACACTTGGTTCCTCCCCCATCACTCCAGGAGCAGCATGTGTGACACATGGGGGATGTTGGTGACAGAGAAAGCCCCATACACGTCTTCAGTGGCAAGGGACAAAACCAGATCCAGTAAAGCGCCTGCAAAGGGTATTATGGCACTGAGCAAGACCAACAGAGCAGTTCCCTCTGGTGCCTTGCTCTTGCTGCAGAGCAGCAGACGGGTGGTTTTGCCATGGCACCTTCAGCCCTATCTCCCAGCTGGGTCTGTCTGTGCCAGCTCAGACTTTGACACCRCATCTGATTGTGCCTTCCGTGTCTGGTGCCCCTTGAACCCAGCCTGGGCACCATCCAAGACAGCTTCCAGCATGCCAGGCAGACACACGAGTGCTCTCATGATCCCAGCTGTGGGTGCTGGCAGCCAGGGAGCCAYCCAAAGCCTGCTCAGTTTGCTTGGATCCATGCAGCCGTGTCCTTCCCCTTCTGCCTTGTGCACAGTCACCAGGAGAGTGGCTCTTTTGCCCTCTCCCTGTGAAAGCTTTGCAGGTACAGCATCCTGTTACCCCACAACRTGTGAAATTCAGGGCCCAGGTTTAAATGAAGGGCTACAGGGGATTCAGCCAATGCCCCAGAGACAAAATGAACTCCAGAGCTACAGAGAATGTCTGCATCGTACTGCAGTGGATTCTGGTCCTGCACAGCCCACCCCTGAGGATGCAGTGAGGGTAGGAAAAAAAGAAGGAAAAACAAGTCTGGGAAGAGAGAAACATGACTTTTTTACTCAAACTAGCTTTTGGCTGGGAACCGAGGGTTTTGATATGGCAGTGACTACTGCTTTCCCCTAAGGAAAGTGGCTGCTTCCTTCTAAAGAGATAGTTGACATTTTGTATCAGAGAAACTCACTCCCTAGTTTACTCAGCACTGAACCAGGCTGGTTTTTGACAGATTTCCAGAAGGAGTTGGGCTCTGGAGTGGGCGGACAGGCTGCTGCAGGGCTGGAGGAGGCACAGTATCCTGGTGGTCCATCCWTAGCCCAGGACAGCATCTCCTTTAATCCTCCCTGGGGGATAAGAGCAGCCTGCTGGGATCGGGATCACCATCCACTTGGGAACCACGGCAGACAAGGACCTAGCAGGGATCTGTGGTGTGCAGCTGCATTGCTCTAAGGAGAACACATTTGCAGCTCCCAGGAGAGATGGGAACCCTGGGCTTTGCAGTCCTGCTCTTACAGGCTGCTCTGTCAACATTTCCCTCAAACTCTTAAGGAAATAGATTAACCTGCTTCCAACATCCAAGAGATCAGTGCCAGCCACTTCTCCCTCATTGTCCCTGGTCCAGGATGCTGTTCTCCTTGTCATGGTAGCCTGCAGCCAAGGATGAATCTGATTCACCCCATCCTCAGCCCCTCTGTCAGTCCAGGCCCTTCACAGGGATCTGCTCCAGCTGCAGCTGCTCAGCCTCGGAGCTGATCCATGCCAAGCATCCTCCCCCACCCCAGCCACGGCCCCCTCACAGGTCACAGAGAGAGCAGCAGGAAGGCTTCTGTCCAAGACWGCGCCAGTTATCCTCATTTCCCACTCACACTGTTTGTCTTGGCTTCTCTTCCCATACCAGCCTTCGTCCTCTTCCTTCTGTGCCCAGGATTGAGTTGCTGGGGCTGTCACTGCAGTTAATGATCCGGGACAGAGCTGGTGCTCTGGGAGAGCCACGCTCAGAGATAACTGAGCCCGGGCCATTGCGTGTGCACATAGCAGGGAGGAGAGCCCCAGAGCAGAGAGCACCTGCAGGGAAACGAGCCACCAGCAAAGGAGCCAGGCAGCCAGGGGATGAGAAGGCACAGGATTAAGCTGGCAAGCAGGAGGTCTCAGCAAAAAGCTGTCAGGTACCTGGACAATCCGTGGCTTGTGACCCAGCCACTGCACCACCGTGGATGCCATCCCCCGAGGACTGGTGGCCACATCCCCCTTGCCCCTTCAGGAATGGTCTTGGGCTATTTCACTCCCAACCTGTGCCCAGGCAYGCTGGTTAGCACCAAACCTGGCTAACTTAATGACGTGGACAGTYACATTTGGCACTGTGGTGCTGGGGAGGAGGGGATAGCGCCTGGCTGTTGGCCACAAAAATCCCATTTGTGTGTGTCCAGCCCGTGCTTCAGCTGGACAGAGCAGCTTTGTTCAAACATCACTTGGCCCGGGCAAAAGGGGATATGAGGACACTTTGAGGCAGCAAGACCTCAGTCAGAGTGCACAGCAGACCCAAGGAGCAAAATGGCCACAGACTGTCAGCTCACAGCTGATGAGTGGCAGGAGCTGGGGGGCTGCCATCGGTGTCTTGTCCATGGATATGCCCAGGAAGAGGTGTCTTCAGCARCCCCCATTGCCCCAAAAGATCATCCCTCTGCTCACCTGTACCCCAGCTGCCAGCAAGGACTGACCCACCAGAGCAATCAACCGCACTGTGCCTCAGTTTCCCTTTACTGCAAGGACAAAACTCCTGTTCCTGCAGCTCTTCTTCCATGGCCCGTGCTCCCATGGAAGCTCAGAGCTGGGCAGCTCCAACCCAGCACCTGCAGTGGCAGGACAGAGGTGTTTTGGGCTGGCTGGTGTGACACTGGCACRCTCCCTCCTACCCATCCCTGCACACCTTCCCCTGGGCACCCACCCCTGTAGCCTGGCTGGGCACTGCAGAGCAGGGCTCTTTGCTGCAGGAGAGGCTCCCAGGAGATATCTGCAGCCCAGGTGCTGCATCCTTCACCCCTGTGAACCCTCTTTCCTTCTCCCCACACCCAGCAGAGCCCCCCTCTTGCCTCTGCAGCACTGAGCAGTGTTGACTGCTCACCACACACTCCACGCTGGCTTTCAGGCTCAAATACAAGGCATGACAACTACCTGCTGGTTCTTCTTTTTTATTTAACAAAATCACAGCATATTTAAAAAAAAAAAAAAAAAAAAAGAGACAGAGTGAAGAAGCAGCATACACATGGAACTGTAGCAATGAAAAGATCTAGCAGCAAATAACTGGAGACAAGCCTGACCTCCAGGCATGGGCACGAGGCAGGGCTGTGGTGTCAGTCTGGGGGACTGAGATGGGGGGCATTGTCTTGGGGACAGCAGAGCCTAAAAGCCACATCACTGCCTGCTCTGAGGCTGCCACGTTATTGGCTCTATTTCCACCCTTGCAAGGAAGGGCAGGAAGGAAACAGTGCAGGGAATTGAGTGAGAGAGGAGCAACATTGGCCACTGATTGTCTGAGGACATTTGGGTTATGCTTTTCAAGATGTATGGCCACTCCCCTCCATCTCCACCCTGCCCTGGGTTGTAGAAGGGCTCCAGGCTGGGGCTGGCAATTTCACAGAAAGGGATCAGACTAGAGCTGGAGGTCACAACTGCTGTGCTGAAGGGAATTCTGGAAGTCCCCAGCTCGCAGATCAGTCCATCAAACACCTTCCAGGCTGCGAAGATGATGGGGTCCAGCAGCCCCTGGCTCAGACTGGCACAGACTGCTGGGTCACACCAGAGTCAGAGCAAAAAAAAAAAAAAAAAAGAGAGCAGACAGGGTTCNTCACACCAGAGTCAGAGCAAAAAAAAAAAAAAAAAAAGAGAGCAGACAGGGTTCTGCCTATCCCCACGTGGTGACACAAGTCCCAAGGAGTGTCAGTCTGCACAAGGCTGGAGATGGAAGAAGGTCGGCTCCATTGGCAATATATTCACAGCTGGGAGCAGGTCCCACTCCAGGCGTTGGGACCAGCCWTGGGTTTCCTCAGGGCCTATTTGCCCTGGGGTTTGGCCTGGGGAAGTGAAAAACCCAACTGGTATTAGTGTGTTCCTCAGGGCAGGGGCCTCCCCGCAGTCTGATCAAGCCATGGTGGGGATGGATCTGGCAGGGCTTGCAACACACCCCCCAAATCATCACAAACCCTCCCCATGAAGAGGCAGCAGCCTGCAGGACAGAAGTGGCAAGGGGCTTGTTCCCAGTGCCATTTGTCATGGCACACATCAGGCTCAGACAAGAGTGACACTGGGTAGACAAAAGTCCCAGGGTTGCATTTATTTGGGGTGGAAGAGGGAGTGCCGAGGAGACAGACTGGTCCCAGCTGGAGGGGGGAGGGATGGAGACCAAGACAAGGGATCCATGTCCCCGTTCTTCCCAACAGCCCAGTCACGCTGGGAAAAGCCTGTTCTGCAGTGGATAAACCCACTGCCCGGCTGACCTCCTGCCTGGCTGAGAACAGGGATGGTTCTTACCCTCCTGGCAGAGCTGGCTTCCAGCCTCTCTTGGAGTCGAATCACCCATTGGGAATGGAGGGGTGCGCAGAGGCGCTTGCCCTTTGTGGTGATGAATCTGCCAGGCACATGAGGGAAAAAAAAAAACAAAATGTAGTGAGCAGAACACCCCAGGGCTGATCAAGAACAGCTCAAGCTCACCCACTGCCCTCCCCTATCTCCACCTTTCAATGACTTTCTTCCTCGGCTTTTTTTTTTTTTTTCTCATGCCTTCCCCTGTCATCTGCTCCCCCTCTGACTGAGCCCCTCCAGGATCTCTTCCACAACTCTCCCCATTCCTTCGCCCTCAAATCCAGCCCAGCATCCCTGCTCCATCCTGCTCTGCCTCCAGCTCTGCCTCCGTGCCAGGTGCATCCCTGGCCATCTCGAGGCCCTGGGCTCTTACATGGCAGCCGGGATGGCACAGCCGTCCTGCACCAGCTGCAGCCGATAGTCCTGCACGATCCACCGCGGGATGGGCGTCTCTCTTGTCCGCAGGCAGCAGTCCAGGACATTGATCCCTCCGTGCGCTGTCGGGGGGACACACAGTGCAGGCTGAGCTCAGCGGCAGCTCTGGCAGCTGCCCTGCAGGGTGAAGGGGTGCGRGGGGACGGTGCTGGCAGGGATGCTGTCACTCGGCTGGGCACGCCGGCACCGGATTTATGGCGCTCACACCCTGGTGCCGGGAGCCCTTTGCCTCCTTCCAGCAGAAAGCGAAGGAGATGRGGAGCAGCAAACAGGCACAAGGCAAACCCTTCTGCAACAAGAAACCCTTCTGCGTGCCTGGGTCCCTCCTGCACCCCGGTTGGCAAGGCAGGGCCCGGGGGTCTTTATTCACCCCGCCTCARGGCGCTGCAATACCGACATACACCTCCGAGGGGCTGGGGATGACTTCAGCTTTATTTACTGGAGCAATCACAGGTTTGGCAGCTACCCCATCACAGCCCGCCCCGCACGGATCATTCCTGTGACAGCTGAAGGACAGAGCTGTCTGCGCTTCCCTGCAGGCAGGAGTTTGGGAGTCACCCTTCCAGGGAATGCTGCATTCACTGCTAATGCCTGACAAGGCTGGCAGCGCCCACAGACATCCGCAGCCGTCAGCAGCAAGGTGTGGCACAAACCRCAAGGCCAATGGGCTCCCCAGCTCCCCACCACAGAGCAGAGGTTCTGGTGTCACCCACCCAGACAGCAACCCCCATGTCCAACACCAAGAGCCTCTCGAACCCGAGCCCCTACCCTAAAACACGCCCTCCCTCTGGCTCCCAGCCCCGACACCGACCCCACACCACAGAGTGACAGGAATGCAATCCCAGCCCAGTGTGTGCAAGCTGGGCTAGGGCACTGGGAGGCAGGATTGCTCCATGGCCTTTCCCAAACACACCTTCCCAGCCCCAGAGYCCCAGAGCAGGCTGCWGTCTGGACTTTGGGCAGAACAAAGTGCCTCTGGGCAGGTTACCAGCAGAGAATGCAGGAGGGCTRGGACAGAGCCCCAGCCATTTGTCCCTCTAAAAGCCTGCTGGAAATGCAAAAGACAGAAGAAACAATTTTCTCCCTTCCACAGGAAAGGCAGCCTGAGAAGACCCCTCTTACCATTCAGGATACTTCCCAGCACCAGGAGACTGAGGCACAGAAGATGCAGCGGCTGCATTTTGCTGGTGGGTCTGGCAGTGGATGGGCTGGAGGCGTCGGAGCTGCAGGCAGGAGAGGTGAGCTCTGCACAGCTTCCCTGCTCTCTGCTGCTGCTCCCYGCAGCTTATATATCCTTCCAGACCCGGCTTTCACTTTCCCTGAACAGCCCAGCCGAGAAGAAGGCTGGGACGCTGTAACAAGTCTTTCCACAGGCTGGATTTTAATCTTTGAAAAGTTCCCGAATATCCTGGCAGCTGCTTTCCCTGCAGCCAGCTGTTCTGTGGTCCCACAGCCAAACTTTCTCTTGCCCTCTCTACCAACGCTCAGGCCACAGCTCCAGGGTCCCTGTACCTTGTGAAAGCACCCCAGGGCTCTGGGATGGCACATGGGGGCCTCACCCCACACATTCCCCAGTCTCTTCTCTGAGAGAACATTCACATTAAACATCATGTAGGATCAACCCTCTGATACTATGGGGGTAGAAYTTGCCTCAACCCCATTTTTGGGATATCTGTTGGTACTGGGATGATGTCTGTCTCCCCTCAGACTCTCCCCATCTGGTTGCTGAAGCCTGGCTGTCTCCCCCTGCCCTCCCCAGTGCCTGTGTGGGACACATCCGAAGCTGGCAGAGGGATGAGARCCCATTCAGCATGCTCCATCCCAGGGCCAAGATCTCACAGGCCAAAAGACAACCTGATTTCCAGGTGTCCCACCAAATGGATTCTTGGCCAAAGGCTGCTACAGAGCTTCCTGTAAACAGATTTTCTCCATGCAAGAGCAGAAATTCCCCAGAGAGGCTGTGTGCACGGCACAGGGTGCCAGCAGCTCACCCGCTGCGTGGGCTCTGCCGAGAGCGAGGACCAGCGTTCCTGCTTTGAATCTTCACAGGAGCACAGGGACGGGGGTTGGTTCTCCTTGGAATGGTGACTCACYGCYGTGCCAGTGCCAGTGCCAGTGCCACCTGCAGCGATGTCCCTTAATCCAGGCTGCTTCAGTCCCTCATGGGAAGCAGAGAGCGCTGGGGTTGTGCAGCCCAGGGATGGAATGATGAAAGGCTCATTGCTGTCAGCAGCTGCTTGTAGAGGGTTGGAGATGCTGGGTCTTCTTTGAGGGGCCCAAGGACAGACAGACTTAAAGGCATCAGTTGCACCCAGATAAATTCCCACTGACAATAGGAAAAATATTTTGCAGGAGGGCAAAAAAGCCCTGGAGCAGAGTCTCTATGCCTGCGCCTTTTCCCTTGTTCAAGCTTTGGGCTGTCCTTGCACCTCAGTGGAGAGCACTGGACAGACACCTTCCATGTGGACAAATACCCGCCTGGACACAAAAGACAGAGCTGGCACTCRGGGAGCTCAGTGAGTCCCTCTGCCCCTCTCAGGGGGGCTCTGCCCCTTCCCCACTCCATGGGATGGAGCAAGAGGAGATTCCAGCCATGCCACCAGACATGGAGCTGCAACCCTGCACTGGCACCAGCCTCGTGTGTGGGGTGGTCTCCTCTGCCTCTGGCTTGCTGGAGCTGGGATCAGGCTGGGGCTAAGGGCAGGAGGAGTAGCACAAACAGGATGTGCCGGCTTAACTTCAGTCAGCACCTGCTGACATTCACAAGCCAGCAGAAGGCGAGTTTAGGTGGTGGAGGATTAGCGTCCATCAATAGCCCTGGGCTCCCTGCAGGTTTGGGATGTAGGCTGGCTCTGCAACCTGGTCTTTACTTAATCTCCTCAGGACGCTGCCAAAGAGATGTCACAGCAGGAAGGATGACAGCTCCTGGTGCTGGTGGCCAGAGCTGTTCCTAATTCAGAGCCAGCTCCTCACCAGGGGTTGGTCTGACAGCTTGGAGCCCTCTGCAAAGAGTGGGTCCCAAAAGCAGAGCCCCAATCCACTGGCACGGGCTGCTGGGGGAGCTGCCCAGCAGCAAACACTCACCTCCTTGCGTGTTCCATGTGTTTGGCAGGTTTTGTAGCACAACCAAGGCTGGTGGGAGTCCCATGCTCTGGGACTCCCCTCCAGGCACTGCTGGGTCCTGCACCCCTGGGCAAGCAGGGCCATCCTCAGCCCGGCACAAGGGTCTCCTGCCTGCTGCTGCTGAGTAGGGAATATATCCTTCTGGGGGTGAGCCTCTTAGCCCCTGATCTGCCCACAGCCCCTGCCACCGACATGGRCAGGAAAGGGAACTGCCATTCCTCCTGATGACAGCTGTCTGGGAGCCAAGTGGGTGAAAGCACAGCAGCTTCACACGCCTCTGCTCCCCAGGAAGAGTACCAGTGAGGAAAGGGGTTTTCCGCTTGCATTGTGAAAGGGGAATGTGYGGGTTTCCCCCCTCTACTGGGGTCAGTAGGGTTTCTAAGAAAAGTGTGGTCATCTCTGAAGTGCATCCCTGTGGCATGCAGGAAGGTCACCCATCCCCCTCGTGGGGCTCAGCCTCAGGAACCAGAAAAGATGGTGCAGATGGGAAAAACAGGGATGCTTCAGGGTCCAGGATCCCCAGGGGCACAGCAGGCAGAGGATTTGGTGGGGATGAGGGAAGAGCATCGTGTGCACTGACTCATTTAAGCCTCTTCCCGAGCAATTAGGGAGCTCTGGAGCTCAAGCCCTGAGGACACCACAGGATGCAGCATGAAGCATCCATGAGCACTCACCCCTGCAGAAACCTCGATAATGCAGTTGTTAATTAAAGTGGAAATCAGAAGGCACAAATGATCCCTGTGGGAAATCCAAACGCATCAAAATGTAAACAGACCATGTGGGTATCGCCTTCACCCCTGCACTCTCCTCAGGCAGCACTGACCAAGCTGCTGCTTTCCTGAGGACTGGCAGCCACAGGAGCCCCCAGGACAGCTGCTCCCCAGGTTGTCTGGTGGTGGTCAGCCTTCCACCTCTGAGCTACGGAGCTGGAAAGGGAAAAGGGGGAATTTCAGTAAATTCCAGCTACAGCCAGTCCCTGGTGTGGGATCTGGCTGCATTTGTTTCATTGGGAAATACTGGGCAAGCACTGAAGCTGCTACAATTTCCCTTGCAACACCCAGTTCATAGCAACTTCACACAGCTCCATCACATTCCCAGTCCTGGTGTAGCACAAGGACTGAGGCCACAACAGCTTGTGGGGCTCAGGGCCCCACTGGATCTTCTCCAGCTGAGTGAACACAGTCGATCTGATTTAAATGGTGATAAAGGGGGAAAACGCAGCAAGTCACGGCTTTGCCCAGAGGCAGCAAAGATGAACCCGAGGATCTGGCTCAGAAGGATTCAAAACGTGCCAGTTCCTGCTCTGTCCCTAATACTCACTGGCTTCAGTGTCGCTGATGCTGAGGTCACCATGAGTGATGAGCAGCAGATCCAAGAACCTTCATCTTGCTCTACGCTCCCAGGCAAGCAGCCATCCCCTGGGATCCCTGCAGCACATGGCTCCCTCAGCATCACCTCTGGGCTGCAGTTTCCCAGCAAAATCCTTCCTGAAATAGCAGCAAGGTGGGATGCCCCCAGAACTGACTCCCTGCCATCATTCTGCATTCTGATTCCCCTCAGGGATTTCAGAGGGGATGGCTGGGAACAGCTCAAAGATCTGTACAAAAAGCAGCCCAGCAGCAATTTCCTTGACATCTCCTGCGTGGCTTGGCAGGTAAGGGTATCCAGTGAGGCAGCACACCACATTACATGTGGACAGATCTACTGGCACATGGGACACAACCAACCCTTGGAGGGTGCTCTCACTGCTCTGTTGGCTCTTTGACAATGGGCAGGGGAGACCATGGAGTTTTCAGTTTTTTGCAGCTCTGGAGCAAGGCTGGCCCCATCCCAGGATATCCTCAGAGGGGAGCAGATGCTTTTCCACAGCCCAAGAGCAGATCTGAAATGCACAGCAGGATGGGAGGCAAGCAGAGGGACCTCAGGTTCTGGGGAAGTGGAAGGAGGAATAGCAGCATGAGACACCTCACAGCCAAGGGTGTTCAGAAACCAAAGATCAGGGAAGGAAGGCACTTGGGAGTTACAYGTAGGCCATGACAGGGTTGACAGAAAGTTCTGGGCTGTGCCCTCTTGGGCAGTGTGAGTGCCAGGGGATGGCCAGGACTGGAAATACCTTGGGGCAGGAAGGGTGAGAGCCCCTGTTGCCCACCAGCCACTTTCCCACATCCTTTCTGCTCTCAAGACCATGGCAGACCTCACCAAAAAAACCACTTTGAAGCTTTGCTTGGAAACCAAAGCCCCTCTAACACCCCAAAAGCAGCCCTCGGTCCCCATGAGGCTGCTGCAGCACCGCCTGCTCCTGCTGCTGGGCAAGGGCATGGGATGGAGGGATGGAGCTGGTGTGTCCATGTCCAGGTGAGCCTGGCTGGAGCTCAGCCTGGCATCGCAGCTCGGAGCCCTCTGCTGCTGGCACAACCCCGGAGCGTTGTCTGCACCAGCTRATGACTTGAGCTAATCATTTGGCTTGAGCTCAAGACTTTCTTGGCTACACTCTGTTTTCTGTCTCGCCCGGCTGCTCTCCACTGTCCCCAAAGCCTTTCTGCTCCAGGGTGGATGAGTTTTCCTAACTTTTTGCACTGCTTGACATTGCTTCAACTTTYTTTCCTTCCCTGCAGATCCTAGGTGGGCTTTTACAGCCCTTGCCCACGCATTGCCCCAGCACATACTTCATCAACACTGCCTTTTCTATGGGGCAAGCAGCTGGTTTGCCCTGCCCAGGGATGCAGCTGTGTGAATCCCATTCTCCTGCTTCACTGCAGCACTGCCTTAGACCATTTTTCTTCATATCTCTTGTCCCAGCTGGGATCTGGGATTTCAGAAGGTTTCAGCTCCTTCATGAAGAAGGAATTTTGGTGCCCGCTGTGTGCTGCAGATCCCAGCTCACCACCTGTCACAGGGAATCTCGGAGGTGTATCTCTGGTGCCATCTCACCGTAGCAGCACTGTGGCCACCTGCTTCACACCTGCCTCAAGAGGCTCCCAGGAACCTTGTTCTCCTGGAAAGCAGCACTCGGCAGTGCAGCTGGAAAGGGAGTGCAAACACCTGAGCRTGTTACATTTGTGCACACACATCCAAGCTCACCCGCACCTTCCTGAGCATGGCACAAACTCCTCTGCACTTCCAGACCCTGTTTTTAGGGTAAGTTTTAGGGTGAATCATAACACCACCACAGGCATGTGTGTGTGAYTAAAACATTTAACCTGTTTTAGCCTAATGCCCACCTAGCATTTAAAGGGAAAAAACCCTCCTTTGAGGTGTTCACTTCCACAGCCAGAGACACCAGRGCACATTTCACACGCTGCTGCCGTCTTCTCACGCTGAGCTGTTTGTGGTTGCAGACATACTCAGCTGGACCTCATTTATAGAAAATTTTTGTGACTACATTTCATAATCCCCTGACACCACAACCAGAACAAGAAGCTTGTCAGAGGCAGGGCCAGCCTTAAGATCTGCATGCAGTGTGTCCCCAGCAAACACAGGGATGCCTCCAGCCCTCCCAGCTCACTCTTTGTGTGCAGGTGTCAGTTCCCAGGCTCCCAGCAAAGCTCAGTCCACAGCACAGCCTCATTAACAATCTGGTTTATTGCTGTTATCCCAAAGCAGCAAGGAGCACWGAGCCCTGCTTTGAACGAGCAGTCCATGTCCAGGAGGGGCTGAAGGGATGGTGAGCAAAGATGCTGTATCCAAACCAAGTGTGCTGTATCCAAGTGTGGTGCCCATGTTTGCTGACACCTCAGAACCCCTCACTGGGGACAGATGAGCAACCAGGATGTCTCCACRTTGCTGGGAAACACAGCTACAAGAGATTTGTAGTGTACGAGCACTGCAAGAGCAGCAAAAGCCTGGACCTGGGGGATGACTGTGTGTGAGGGAGAAGAGCCCTCCACCACGCAGCCCTTCCCACCCCYCMMMAAAAAAAAAACCCAYCACAACAGCTGGAACGAGCGAGTTTGGTTATAAAGAATACATTTTATTGCTACACATCCTGTCCAAAAGCCGGCCTGGCAGACGGCCGCGTGCTCCGTGTGGAGGAGGCGGCAGCAAGGAGACAGCTCAGAGCCCGTCCCGTGCTCAGGGCCGGCATCCTGGGCTTCACAGTTACTGTACACAGCCTCGAAATAATAGACCTAAATGCCCTCTCAATAAAGCGGTCAAGCCAGATAAACATACTTGGTGGAAACACTCAGCTGCAAGCTTTGCTCCAGCAAACACACAGCCCGTGCCGATACTGCTAAGCTATGCAAATCCTATTATTGCATTTATATGACTTAATAGACCTTTACTGACCAAAGTCCACATTGGAAATCTCTGCAAGCAGATAGCAGTGCAGCTGCAGAACATCTGTTCAATTTGCTCCTTCTCAGCGTGCTGGGGAGGGTGGGTGGCAAGAGTAGAGAGATGCCATTTYCCCTCCAGTCCTGTACCAGGGGTCTGTCCCACCTCTACTTGCARTGTCACCTAAAGGTGTCCTCTGGTTAGTGACTTCTCTCACTAAAGGTTTGAGATAGAGCTGCTCTCAAATGGTTGCAAGATGTCTACGATAAATGTTGCGAAATCTTCTATTCCCCCACYCTCACAGCCCCACATGCATTTTCATCATGTGGGCTTTTCAGATTTGGTAAGTAAGTATAAGAGAGTTTCTGGATTTTTTTTTTTTCCCAGAAAACGAAGCATTTGTCTTAATAGTGCCTGAATCCCTGACACAAGCAAAGCCAGGGGAAATAAAAGGGTAAAATTCTACTAAAACGAACAATTTGTTCTGACTCCACTGCAATTTTGTAGCCAGGGGAGCTAAAAGGGTATAATTCCACTAAATTGAAAAATTACTTCTGATTTCATGGAAATGCTGTACCTAAAAAAGGAAATATAAAAAAGGGACAGATTGTGGCTATTTGTATCGGAACTACAATGCAACAGTGCACCATAAMAACTGAAAGATTAGAATAGCCCAAAGAGAGCCACAGTCACCCCAAAACTCTCCATCTCAGCCACTGTTAATTGCTCTRCAAAGAAGCACCCAGCAAGCAGCTCAAGCAGGACTATGGGACTTGGGACCTGCCTGGTACCCCACGGCCTTGCAAGCCAAAAAGGAGCAAATAGATGAGAGGAAAACAAAATGCAGCTATGGTTTATTAGAAAAATAAGAGAAATCTTTCAGAAAATCCAGCCTGCAGCATAAARGCTATTTGGTGAAGCACAAGGAGACAGAAGTAAAACCTTTCAGGAAGACTGAATGAAAGCACAGTTTTCAAATATAAATACAAATGTGTAATATCCCCGCAAAAAAAAAAAAAAAAAGAGTCATAGGAAAAGCAGCCATCCTGCTAGGCTAAAGAACTCCCCTTGGGTGGGAAGCCATGGCTCAGCTCCAGGCCCAGGTCCTCTCCTCTTTTCCCGTGGGACAGGTGAAGACCTGGGCACCTGCTTTGCTGAGAGCCCCCAGGCACTGCAGGTGCYGGGGGATCTCTGTGTCAGGCATAGCAGCAAAAAAAGAGGTTCTGGGGCAGAGGGAATCCTCCCCAGCGTGCCCCATCCCCGCCCTGGGGGTGGCGGGTGGGTGGGTGTGTGGTTTTTGTGGATTTCCATCGCCATTGCCGGGCCGTGGGTCAGTCACCTGTGGGAAGGCATCCGTCCTAACAAAGGCAAGGAGGAGGAGGAGGGGGTGAGATGGAGGGGGTCTCAACAATTCCCCGGTGTGGCATGCCCTGCCCATCCCCAAGATTTGCCTTAGCCCAGCAGCTCTCCAGAAAAAAATTTAATTTCAAGGCAAGCACAAACRGCAGAGAGCCGTTCCCTAAGTGCCTCCATGCTCCAGCCATGGCTCTGGCAGCTCCCCCAGGCTCTGCACCAAGAGCTGAATGCCCACCCTCCCACACGGAAGGATCTAGAATGGGGTACAGCATCCTCACCCTACTGACCACTCTCACCTACCTCTTCAGTTCTGACTTAGACCCGTGGTCGCCTCTGCTTCTTGGATCTGTCCCTGGGGCGCCGGGGCTGTCCCTTCTTGGCCTTCTCGTCCAAGAACTTCATCTGCTTCTGGACAGTGGCATCGGTGGGAGAGGCACAGATTTTCTTGTTCCTCTTGGTGATGAACCTGGGGGAGCAGCAGAGAGATTCACTGGGGAGAAGCAGCGGGAGGACAGGGAAAGGTTTGTCCAAAGCCAAACTGTTCCGAGGGGTCCTGACTGCCACAGGGTACTCACACAACAGCACGCAGCATGCACCCCGACTCGGGTCCCTGCAGGCGGTAGGATTTCAGAACGGCAACGCGGATGTCTTTCTTGCTGTGCTTCAGGCAGCAGTCCGAAGCTGAGCTTCCAATGCCTGTGAGCAAGGAGGGGATGTGGGATTTGGGACAGCCACTGAGACAGGACAGCTTCAGCACAGAATGCCGGCTGAGAGCACAGAGCTTGCTTGGGGAGGTGCTGGGCAGCACGTGGGGRTGGAAGCTCTCAACCCCAGTGCTCAGCTGCCGGTCACACTCTGTCCCAGCAAGATGAGACACGGCATCATGGAGGGGAAAATTAGATGGGAGGGAAACTGAGATGAGCTCCTTAAAAAGAGACGGAACCTCGTTCTCCTGACTGTTCTTTTGAGCTTGGGGTGCTGCTGCCCCACCACACACACACACACACACACACACACACACACACAGGCTGTCAAAATGACAAGCACTGCAAGCCAATGCCACAGGCACACACACAGAGCCCTACACACAACTGCAAACCCCACAGCTCAACCCTCTAAAAACACCCCCTCACCGGCCAGCACCCTGCGCAGACCCCACTGAGCACCCACASCCCCTGCCCCGTCCCAGCTCCTCGCCCCTCACCTTGAGCCTGGCTGAAGATGAGGATGGCAGCCAGCAGCAGCAGCAGAGGCAGGAAGAGGCGGGAGGCCATGGTGCTGCCCCGGGTGCTGAGCAGAGCAAGGCTCGGGATCGGGACAAGGATCGGGAGCGGGACAGGGATCGGGATCGGGACGCGCTCTGCTGCTCGTGCCGAGGCTGCTCCTATTTATCTCTGCATTCCTTGCTTTCGTTTTCGGACAGCCTGGCAGGCAGCCCACCGGCGAGCCAAGGGCTGGGTGATGCACAAGTAGAGGGTGGGGGATTCCTGTAAGCTGCGAGCCCCCCTTTACAGGCACGTCCTGTCCTGTTCCCAGCKGCCCATCGGGCGGGGGGTGCCAGGTGGGGGACATGCCGGATGAGTCCGTGGGCTCCAGTTTCCTACCCAGTCTCACAACCTGCCACTACCTGCTCTCGGAGGGTCGGGTGTTTATTCCCATGACAGGGACCCTGGAAGGTGGCCAAGCTCTTAAAGAAAGCAAGGAGTCAACCTGTTTTCTCCCCCACTTGGTGATTTACTCCCAAGACAAACGGATGAGAAGTGTCTCAGTGTGACTCCACATCCCCTCCCCCTGAGCCCCCATTCGTATCTGGCTGCCTTAGAGACTGCCCCAAAGAGCTGAACACAGCTTTAGGGCTGGGATGTGTGAGGGTCACACTGCAGTGGGGCTTGGGGAAACAGCACAGCCTGACAGACATCAGAGCTGAAAGCAAATTGTGGGAGCTGAGGATGAGTGGAGACCTTGATCAGCTGAAGGAATGCGCTGACAAGGATGTGAAGCTCCACAGGCAGGCTGGCATGATCCTGTGCATGGCTGGACAGATGGGGACTATGTAGAAGCAAACCCACGATATATGAACAGGACACCACAGGAAACATCTGTGGTGACAAAAGCCATTCAAAGAGATGGATGGCTGTGTGACTGGACCAAGCCCTGAGCGACTAGTGTGACACCAGTCCTGCTCTGGGAAAAGAACACTCAGACACCTTTATATTTTGAGGTAATCACCACATCATGGTCTGGAAGAAACCAAGGATGGAGGTTTCACAACTGCTTTGGGGAACCTGTTCCAGTGCTTGAAATGTTCCCCAAGCAGAAATCAATTCCCCCACTATTTAATTGGAATTTCCTGTGATGCTTCTGGTGTCACTGCCTCTCACCCTAATCCCGAGCTCTGAGAAGAGATAATGTCCCAACATCACTCCTCTGGAAAACCCCACCAGCAAAAAATCCCCCTTATCATCGTGTCCCCATCTTCACCACCCACTGCTAGCAGCCCCTCTTTGCCCACCCTGGCCTCCAGCTCCTCGGCTAGCTCCGGTCCCAATGCTCRTGCCAGCTGTGTCCTGGGAGCCCCAGTGGGATGGGCASCTCTCATGGGGTCAGTGACAGTGGGGGTCAAACCCCTTTGAGGGTYCCACAGCCTGTGTAACCCCAGGACTTTCCRCCAGYTCYTGATAAAGACCCTCACAAATTGTCATCAAGGACAATGAGTAACCCAGGAGAAGACCCAAGTCCCAGTGAGCTGTGTAAGGAGGCCAGACTTTTGWCCCACTCAGCAGGGAGAAGGCAATGCTGGAGTCACAGATCACCAACAACTGTCCTGCAGCCCTCTCTTGGGCCAGGACACCAGGATTCCTCTGGGACTGCCTGGGGCAGTGTGCCAGRGCTGATCTCCTGGGGATTCCTCCATCAATGTGCAAGGAGATTGCATTCTGGGCTATACCCACRTACCCAGCACCAGACAGGGGAAGGCAGCTCACCACACACTTGTGCAGCACARAGATTTCTGTGGAGTCGGGCAGCAGAGCCTGGGCAAGCAGCAGGTGTGGCACACGGGCAGTAGTGGTTGTCTGCAGGTGCATCTCCCCGGAATACTTGGCAGCACAGGGAATGTTTCCCCCGAGCCATCCTGGTGCTGTCACCCATTCCTCCAATCCCAAAGCATTGGTGGCATCAGGACAGGGCAGAAGGAGAGCCATGCTGGTGCTTTGTGCTTGTCCAGCCCTTACTCAAGCAGCCTCCCCAGACAGCAGTGCCCTGAGCACCTGGATGAATCCCCACCCTCGGCACAGCTGGAACACTGCCCCGGTGCTGGACAGGCTGGGGAAGCTCTGGTCCCGTGGCCATCCACCCTGGCCAAGTCTCCCCCAGAGCCTTTGTGGTATCAGTGATGTAGGACAGAGGGAGGACATGTCACAGGTGGCCACCAGCACAGACCTGTCCACCACAGGACCYCCTCTACTCCCAAAGGAGCCCAGGAGAGCTCTGCAATCCCAGCACAGAGCCCCAATTCCTTCCTTGCCCTTCTCTGTCCCACCACGGCAGCAGGCTCCTGGAAAGTCCCTGGCTCTCTGAGTGTTTTCAAGACACCGCAGCAGCAACCTCTGGCCCAAGGCCAGCCCAAAACATGGTCTGAGCTGCTGAGTAGGGTCAGGGCACGCGTTTCCCTTCCCAAAGGAATCAGGCAATTCCCTGTTGCTGTGACTTGCATCTCTGACAAAGCATCTGGGTGAGCCGGCTCTCACTCTTTCCAGGGAAAGTGGCTGGAGAGGAAACAGAGGGAAAGGGGGCACCTGGCCATTGCAGGTGCATCTGCACACCTGAGCAGCAGGGTCCCATGGAAATCAGTCTGGGGGTCCATGCCCTGTCTCCTCTTCTGCCTTCCTTCCCTCAGAGCATCCCCTTCACTCCTTCCCCTCGATGTGCCTTGCTCTGTCGCCTGTCATCCCTGCCCAGGGAGAAACCAGGAAACTTCTGGCAATGAGAGATGAGTTAGTATCCCTGTTTGCAGAGATGGCTGAACTTTTGGGAATCAGAGGAACTGCAAGGGTGGGGATGGAGACAAGACCTTTTAGGGTTTTCAAACRCCATCAGCCTCCAGCAGCCACTCTGGACAGGCACAATTTCTTGTGTGCACCCACACAAACCCACTTCTCACCATCCTGGGCTCCTGCAGTCACCAGCCTTTTCCCATAGCTCAAAAGTTCAGGATGGAGGCAGACAAAAGGAGGGATATAAACTAGGTACTCCTATGGGGTGTTTCAGCTACAGAGAATCCCTTTCTGACCACAGGGGCTGCGTCTGACWCTGTTCAGAGCCATTGAAAAGGGGCTACCCCTGTGCTCAAGCAGCCCTTTGCATCCCTGTGGTGCAGGAAGGASGGACGCTGTCCCCAGCAAGGACTGCGGTGTCCCCACACACAGAGTGCACAGAAACAGTGGGATTATAGCAGAGGTTACCTCACTGCCTTGCTTCTGATCCTTTCCCAGGCAGTAAAACCATCGTRGCAGCTTGTAGGTGCTCTCTCAAGCCTCCATCCCAAATGCTTCTCAAGTTTGCACCCTGCACTGGAACAGCAGAGCTCCAGAGCCTGGAGTTCATCTTTGGATTGCTTCCCTGGTTCCTAGCATCACAGTGTCCTAGCATCTCAACCCATGTCACCAGGAGATCCTTTCTGCTGAGCTCTCAGCTCTCTGCTCATCCACACCTGACCATCAGCCTTACAGAAGCCCTCGGTTCTGCCCCACTTAACCAGACTGCAGGGTCTGCTTCCCAGGCAGCTCAGGGTTGGGAGCAGATGCTCCTTGAACTGAAGGCATCAAGAGGGGGCCAACCAGTGGGACTGGGAATTTCCAAATCTTTCTGGATGCTGCCTCCGAGTTAAAGTCACTGCTGACAGGAATGGGGTCGCACAGCTCAGCTCAACTCGCTGACCGGCAAATTCCTTCCTGCAGAGGCCCCGATTCCCAGGACCCCGTGCAGAGGTAGTTTGCAAAGCCCAGCGTGGAAAACCCCCGTGTCTGGGAAGGGGAGCGGGCTGCCAGGCACAACGTATAGAAATGTGGAACAGCGACACATTCCTTGGGACGCGGGAAAGAATTGCTGGAAACGGACGGCACACGAGCCGGGCAGGCTGCCTGCTGGCGGCTGCTCCGTCCCCAGCCTTCAGCACAGCCCATGGGAAGAGCAGGATAAGCACAACGTGCTGGAAAGGGCAAGGAAGCTGCTCCCTGGAGTGCGCGGATGCTGGACCCAGCTGGGCTGGGAGAGGGTCTTCAGCCTTGAGATGTCTGCCCCACACACACTCTGCGTTTCCCAGCTGGGTGTGGGTGCAGGTTAACCCTCTGCTGACTAGCAGGACTGCAGAGTGGCTCAGGTGTGGGGTGGGATGCTGAAAATATCAGGGGTTTAGCAAGCAGTAGATCCTGCACCCTGGAACAGTGCTGTCTTCCCACAGCATCCTCTGCAGGATGTGCAGTGCTGCCCATGGTGCTTGCTCACACCCAAAATCGAGGGACTGAGAAAATGCTGTGTTTTGTGCCCTTATGGACAATACATGGTCAGCATTGCTCAGTTCTCAGCCCCTCTGATCCAGACATATGGCGTTCTTTGGACCCTGCACTACATCACCAGACAATAAAGGGGTAGTGGCTCAGAGCCTCTCTATCTGTGGCATGGTGGACACCTCCATGGGGCAGCCAGGAATTGTGYTGGAAAGGGGATGAGGCAGAGAGTGGGAGACACTTTGAGGAAGAGAGATTCAATTGTTGTTTGCACCAATTGCACCAACCCTCCAAAAACRGTGTCCCCCTCAGCGAGCCCTCAGCCCTTCCACCAACCACAGGCACAACCCTCCCTCTTCCATCAATAAGAGAACTACATCAATACTCCATCCAGAAATCCCACAGGTCCTCGTACGGAAGCATCAAACTCCGAGGAAACTACTGGCGCCAACCCAGCTTTCACTGAAAGTGGAGCTTTAACAAGTCATAAATCCTCTCCCAGCAAAGCAAGGAGCAGCTCCCAAAGCAGGGCAGGCGTGTGCCAGC